CTCTTACGAACCTCTCCGAACACCGCAACCTTCGCAGATAACATCCCCAGGTACTTTTCTAGATAAATCAAAGCAGTGGGCGATCATCCACTACATGGGATGGACTGGATCGCGTGTTTTCCCCTCCATTTCCGCGCGACCACGTGCTCTCACAACAGTGGACGCCATCGCCCTTGACTTCGCACGTGGGAAAACGCGCGGAATCTCACGGTGACGTCACGTCCACGAGGAGCTACTGCACACGCATGTAACTAGATGTCTCTCGTTACGAAGGCGAACGACTTCCGCGGTGGAGGCTTCACGCATCCAACCTCGTGGTCAAAAGGAAGGCGCATGCACAATAGCGATCAGTTCCACGAGGTCAGGCTACGAGAGGTTATTGAGCCCCCTTCATGCAGTTTTCAACAAAAAAAATCCATCCCGGCCACTGCAACGCGAGTCATATTTCATCGACGCTCTTCTGGCAATTGGTATCGTGTATCTCTTTATTTCTTTATTTTTTATTTGCTTCTTTTCATCAATAGGCACGGCATCACATATTCCCCTTATTTAACCCTTCCCTTAGCTAAATTCATTAACCGTAAATTCCTTTCTAAGACCATCAACAAGAACGAAATTGGGCATGCTTCTTGCCTCCTTCACAAAGAACAGCTCCAGCAAATTTGAAGTTCCATCTTCCCGTTGATGTGGCGAACGCTGAATCTCGCTCTTTCCAGATGTCAATTTCATTCCCCTAACAAAAGAATGATACAAAATTGTTGATAACTAAAAGTGCCAATTTTGTTGTTTGCGTCGCACCATTTCGCCATGAAAAAAAAATCTGTCATTAATATAGCCTTCCGATCCCGTCTCCCAGTGTTGCCGGATATCGTGTCGTAGTTACGTCAGATTCATGAATGCGTCAGTATTCCTATCAGTGCCAGGATATTTTTTTATGAATGAAATATTTTCGTGCTGAGTTCATTTGATGAGCCGAGACTAATTAACTAAGCAATTAATTAGTCAACTAATTAATTAAGGGCGATTAAACAGAGGCCGATCGAAGCAGCGAGATACGGAGAAATCCTCACTGGACATCCCTGAATAGACAAGATGGCGTCCAGCGTTTCGTTCTTCCCCGAGGCATTCTTCTCCTCAGTCGAGATGTTCGAGGAATTCCAGATTTTAACGTTCCACGTCCCACTGAAATGGTTCGTGAAAGTCGGAATGGGCTTGAGATCGGACTAACGTGACATGCCCTCAACGAGATGTCTGGTGGACCACGGGATCGACCATTATAGGCCTAATTATTGAGGATTGAGTTTCTTTTGAAAGAAAAAAGGTTGGCCTTGACCTGGCATGAAGACAAGCTGTCGCTTAGGCCTAGGTCCAACGTTGGTGAGTCACGTAGAGAAAGGGGAGAGATTGGAGAAGGGGAACCCGGTTGAAAAATGGTATTCACGTTACTTCGTGACTCTCATTAGTCGGAGCCTATGAAGGCAACGTTTTCCATGCAAATGCGGGCTTCTGGAAAGCAAAGTAGAAATCGTTTGGTCGGAGTTGACCGTCAATGCAGCCATGTCGTCATTCCGGTCATTGCAGGCCAAGGTCGGATAAATAAAGAATTGACAAAACGATCCAAATGACGCACAGGGAAGAATGCACAAGTAACGCACTGCATTTACAGTGAAGGAGCCCGTTCAACGGCTTCATCAAGGGACTCACGGGATCATTTAAAGGGTTAAATTACATGCAGGGACTTCGCCACTCCGCCATAGGGGACAGTAGCCCCACCCGCCCCCTGGACCCACCACTCATTGGCCATGTGAAAAGCCAGGGTGCGGCAAAAACACTCCTAAATTCTCGGTCTGCCCGTGGGCTTCGTTAATCGTAATGGCAAAGGCAGGGTAAATGACGTCAAGCAAAAACGAAGGGCAGTCTAAAGATCAAGACGCTAAATTTGAATTGTCGCATTGTAGGACCATGTAGCATGTGCACTTCTATTAGCGGTCTCACACTGCTCTGCGGACATCGCAGTCCACGGTGCACGTTACTGAAAGTTAGTGGCCTTTGGCCATGCTCCGTGAACCCATTACTATGCGTAAGGGGGAGAACACGCGATCGCAATGTGCGCATGAGTGTGTCATGTGTGTGCGCACAGTATTCAAGGAGGCCAAAACATATCGATGTGACTAATGCTACGTTTGTCAGGCGTTCTTGTGTCGTCTGCATCCAATTCTTGAAGTCGCCTCAATGCCGAAAAAAATTCCTCGAGTCAGGTAATGATATCGACATCTTTGTTTGTCCCTAATGCAAATGATGTGTTTCTTTTTCAGCTTCTAAGCCTCCTTTATTACGTTTCAAGATACTCAACATGTTCCAGACTGTTTCACACGTACCTCAAAAACCTGAAGTTAATTTTTTTTTTTAGAAGTGACCATACTCCCCAAAAATAGGGGTAATATGGCCTCTTGGAACCAACTTGGAAAATATCCAAAGGCGCAATATTTATTTTTTTTTTGCATGGGCATTGCTGGGATTTAGTAAAGGAGATATCAATAAATATTTTAGAAACATTGCAAAAGTCAAATTTGACCTTGATGGGCCGTTAAGACAAGGTTTTATTTTGTAGGGCTCCATTCCCCCAAATTTCCTGATGCATGGATGAATGATCGGTATTTCTTTTAATGGAGCAAATCCACGAAGATTCACTGAATTTCGTTCTAATTTCAGTTGAAGAATATTGGGAGATAGTGTTGAAGTCAGATGGAACCCATTAACATATGTTTTCCAAGAATATGTAGCTACCTACGCGGGAGTTTCATGGTTCCATCCCTATTAACTGGAATGTATGTAGAAACCGAAATTAATTGAGACATAAATATCTTCCGTTGCAGGTCTCATGAAGTACCAGATACAATACGATTTAAGAAAATAATTCAATTAAAAAAGTCACTTATAGCATGCAAAATCCTCTGAAGTTTGGCCCTGTATTTCCCTGTATTATTGGGCTGTGGTGACGACATCTGGACGACGATAGCCGTCTTGCCTCACAGATGGCTCACAAAGAAGGCCGGAGATAGCCGTATCGTCCGCCAGCAAGTTAGAACCTTGCTATTTTTACAAGAAAAAAATAAGATGGAGCGATACCGTTGAAAAAAATTCTCAGGGCGTCATTCAATATAGAATTCTTCTCTTGAAAAAGAGAAGGCTTTTCAGAAATTTCTCAGAATAAGTTGTGTGGCGAGGAGAATAGCGCGAATTTCACGTTTCTGCGACCAACGGTTGGCCAACTCGTGACCTTAGATCATTTGCCACGGTCAGGTGCTTCATCTGAGAGTGCCAAAAAGTGGCTCCAAAGTCCTCCCTTGTGGTCCTCTGCAATAATTACGAGCCAGGATTTAATTCCAGGGTGGTCGATTTTCATCTTCCTTTTACCTTCGAGTCTTGGTACTTTCACTTGGAAAATTTTGGGATGGAAAGATAGTAGTGAAAAACATTCTCAAGGCGTCTTTAAATTTAATTTCTTCTCTTGAAAAAATGTCCTTCACTGTCATGAGTCCTTCACTGAAGAAGTCTAACCAGAAAAAAACCTTTATTGGCAGGTATCAACCGGGCAATTGCAGGACCGCATGCAAATTGCGGCGAAAGATAAAAGGCTCCATATATGTACAGGGATGAAAGGAACTCGGAAAAAAGGTGCGGAAGATGCAGTGAAAAGCGACGGAGCAGAGAAAAGTTCCAAATTAAATTCGATGTCGATGCCCAAAGGAAAAAAAAAAGGAATTTCCGACTGGATTTCCAACATCGCGCGACGCTTGCTTCATAGCACCAATGTCGACTCGCATAGAA